GGCAGTTGAGATTCAAATCAGTTCCATCATGGCTTGACAGTGTGTAGGTTGTGAGAACAATTATTTCGATTTCATCGCGAAATTTCAACAAAATAACGATGCAAGCTTACTAAACCTACAAGATCACGGTGTAATGCCAGTGGAAGTACAATGCCCGCACTGTAAGACATCGTGTCCTTACGGAAATGACAGTCACCAAGGGGTTTGCGGTGCATGGAAAAGGGTTCAAAAAAACGAAGAAAGCAGTTTAACTTTACTGTAAGTGATCGCAATTCCCGCCAACAACGACCTGGTATACCCCGACGATACCAGTGACCCGCAACCTGGCCCGTCTGGAGTTAAGGCTGAAGGTAAGATAGGGTTCAAACTGTTCCTGGGTCTGGGCTCTCTCCTGCCGGAACATACGAGGTGAAGATTTTGCAGACCAGGCAGGGGGGGGGGAGAGGATAGCCCCGTCTGAAAGGGGTATAAGGGGGCAAAGCCCTCTATATCTACAGAAAATGTGTCAGACACCTGTTTTCCCCGGGCTCTATCCTGTCGGAACATACGAGGTGAAGGTTTTGTAGACCAGGCGGGAGGGGGGGGGTGGCCTTCCCTGAAAGGGGTTTAAGGGGGCGAAGCCCCCTATACAACCCGGAAATGTGTTGATATACTATGCTAGTATTCTACCGATATTTCTCAAAATTCCCTGATATGTAGGCCTATCATACCCTCCCCAGCTATCGGGACCGATATTGTAATTATGCGAAGGAAATGGGTGCTAGATTCGTTCAAAACACGACGAAAGCTATTGGAAAATCGTTCTATTCACCAATGATTCTATGACAAAATGTGGCTCACACTCAACAAAAGAATGAATTCATTCCCACCCTACAAGCCTTAAACGACTGTTATAAGTCATGCTGCCCATAAAATTTAACGCTACAGTAAATGCAGTTAGAATAGGCCAACATTTAAATAAATTGGTATATGAAAAATAGTTTGGCACTACCTCCTTACAGGAAATCAGCTACCCCAACGCTTCCCAGGGCCTTAGTTACCTGCGACTCACTCGAAGCCATGGTGGTCAAAGGCTTCCCAAACGGGTGCCTCGTCCAAGTGAAGTACGCCTTTGGTCCGTATGTGCTCCTCGGCCTGGGCGAAGACAGGCCTTTGATGCCCTTCATAGTAGACACGGGCTCCGATTTCTCATACATCGCTCGCTTTGCACTGGGGCTTTTCGGGATCGAGGACGCTCTCCAGCCCTGCGACGACGAAGATGTAGACGGCAGCGTCACGTTTCCAGTGTTCAGTAACACTGAGGATCTGCTCTCGGAGTTCTGCTTCTGGGTCTTGCCTCACTGTTCCCTCAACCTACTTGCGATGGACTTCCTCACAAGCGGGTGCTGCGTCCTCGGCCTCCACCCGGAATTCCCATCGCTGTGGGTTCATCGAGAGCCCAGGAACACTGTCAAGGTGTTTGAAATAGAGGACAAGTTCCAAATCAACGGCACCGAGACCTTGGCACTCGTAGATTCGGGATCATGTGCACTAGCCACCTGTTCGGCAGAGGTAGCTGAGAGCTTACAACTGCAAGTAGGGGCGCTGGAACAACCAGTTCCGATCGGTTTGTCAGTTAGGGAATACTTAATATCCCACAGGGCCAATGTGCTAGTGAAGGGACCGGGCACGCAAGCCAAGGGGAGCCTTGACATTGTCCCTTCCTGTACGAAGGTGTTTGTTGGAATACCACTCATTGGAGGTGCGACTATAACGTTCTTTGAGGGCGGCGCTTAGGACATCAGCTTCCCTGATTGAATGTAGTGAAGCCCCGAGAGGCGAGGGATGCTTCATAGCCTTCTCCGGCGAGGACTCCACCTGGGCTGCCTTGGAGGGAGGAACAGCCAGGCTGGGGCTTCGTTGTGGGCCGAAGAAAGTGTCGGTCACCGCTATTTCATTTTCTCACAGCACTGATCGCAGGTAGTTGCTCCAGATTTACTAAAATGTATGTGTTCGATATATAAATACAGTAGATAAGTAGATAATTGTATGTACAGATATGTTAATAATGGATGTAAAGATGTGTTTAAATTTTATGAGCAAATAAATGTAG